TTCTGCGGGAACTAGTTTCGTGGAGTCGCCACTGCATAAATCAACATCGACACAGGGAACATTTGTAACTCCTATATCTATTAGCGCTAAATCCGCCACCATCCAGACCCCGGAGGGCTGCAGCGGAGGATGAAAGATTACGACAAGATACTGCGTCAAGCAGACGTATGCAATACCCTCTACAAGCGCCGTTTCTATCTACATCATTATTAGAAGAACGAATACAAAAGCGCACCTACGACCTTGGAGTGCGTGTGCCAGCGCACGGTGTCTACCGCCCTTATCCAGGTCGCGCTGCGGGTCCTGTCGAGGTCACTGGTCCAGATGGTTCGTCTGTGGTACGCACTGGCAAAGCACTTTTGACCCAGGATGCCCCACTTGGCGATATCCTTTCTCTGGTGACCCTGGCCTGTGAAGAACGACTGCGATCTGTGGTCGATCATTCTTACGCGTTAGCAATTAACCGACGAGCGAATTCCCACGGTGTTGTTCCATTAGAATGGAGTGACATGGCCGTTGCATTAACACCCCCTAGTGCAAAAGCAGACGGTACTTCGACTAAGGAGGCCACTCCCACAGCAGCAACTCCCAAACGTAGGTAAAATGTGTTGATTTTATGAGATTTATCCCTTTTTGAGCTAATCATCATCTTCTGCAGGCCCTCTACCCAACGATGTTGCGAAGGACGACGAACCGTTTAATAAGAAACAAATGCCGATAGTCAATATCATTGCCAAACGGAGTCGTAGCCTAGTGGAGAAGGATATATCGTTTGAAGAAGAACGGGCAAGTAAACGAACAAGAAGGAATGCCGATGCGATCCTGGGTGGCGATTCCAGCAGAGCGGGCTCTGTTGGGCTTGGCACACCTGGAACTGCCACTCCAACTGGCCAGCTCAGTGAGCGTATTATGGAAGAACGCAAAGCCACGAAAAAAGACACGAAGAAGGCCGACAACAAGGTGACTGAAGCGGTACAACATCAACAGTCCGTCGAGACTGCCCGAATGGCCACAAACAACCTGACTTCTGGCGTCAGATTCGGTGGGAAAAAAAAGACCTACAGCTGGCTAACAAACAGCTCACCTGCAACGGTGCGGAGTGTTTCCACGCCATCAAGAGCAAGTGTTAGTGCTGCTGCCACCGCCGGAACGCCCACTCCAAGACCCACCGGTGTGGCTGTTACAGGACCCAGTAGACTTACTGGGAAACGGATGGGAGATTGGCGAGAGAGCGACAAGGAGCGTGGAGCCGGTGTTCAGATTAGGGATATTCTTTTCGTGCTGGAAGTGGATGGCAAGGGTTTGAAGCACTTACAGAAGGCTTACTCGAAGGAGTCGAAAGAAGACAATGATAAATCCGAGCGATAGCAGCCATGAACTTACCCCAATATCCAATATCAAGGCGACGGAGAGAAGAAAATGAAAGAATTAACTTAACGGAGCACCGGCGTCATTGGCTTACCCTTCATTTTTTCCACGGCTTGTTTCGTGGAGGCTGGTTCACATTCTCATGGGTTTTCAGTTACTTACGTAAATTTTTTTATTATTCCCCCCCCCGGGGATTTTTATTTTTTGTAAAAAATACCAAAAAATTTTTATTGTTCCCCCCCCCCCCCCCCCCCCCCCCCCCACCCTTTTTTTCTTTTTGTCCCTTCTTCTTCTTTCTGTTAGCATCATCTATGCCCTTTAACAGTTTCTTTGAACCGGAGGGTCATCGAGTTTCCCCCCCCACCTCTGCCGTAATTGTTTGTCTACAGGTGGGCACAAGGTAGACTGCATAAAAATGTTTGACTCATTGCTTATTTCCAGTTATCATCGTCCTAACTGATAAGTAAGGTTCTTGTCCTTGCTTCCCCTCAAAAATCGATTATTGGCGATGAATTTTGTTTTAATCCCGGAATAGTATTAATAACATTCCCGCATGCCTAGCTGACAATCTGACAATCAGCACACGTCGTGTCAACGTATGTTTAATACCTGTCCCCATTGCATTGTTATTTTTTTGTCACCAACTCACGCAAACCGCCTAATCCGTTCGAGACAACCCAACTGCTTACTCAGGATCTTAATTAATCCTTTGGTCCAGAACATTGTTTCTGCGACCCCATTGATTGTTCCTAATACCTAGGATTCTGTGGGGCCTATATCCACGAACATTGTCCAGTCCGGTTCGGTCAATCTCTACGATGGCAACTTCCATCAGTTCTTATCTCTTCGTCCCAAACGGAGTTTTTAAGAAGAAAAGATTCCATTCTTCAGAATAGAGAATAGGTATATCCAAAAAGGCTTTATCATGTTAACATGATTTTAAACTCTTTTAACAGCCCGACCATTGCCATCTCAATATTCCATCATAATATATATAATATCGCAAGTATTTACCTATGCTTCGGACCACTTCTACGAGTCATCTGGCAACGACGGTAAATGAGTTGGCCGTCGGCGTTGGCTGCTCCCTTGTATCCCAGCCCTTGTCCAACGTTTATATTCTGAGATAGTCATCATTGCTATTATATATCAGGCTGCTATGCTCTTCTTTGGCCCGTTCAGAATTCGCATTGAGATGCGAGGAATATATTCCACAAGCGGTCACTTTCAGCTATATATACGCATATATACGATCCTGAGCGCCAAATGCAAAACGAAAAGCAAACAGATGTCAAAGAGAAGAGAGAGAAGAAGTAAAATGTTCTTTTCTTCCCATCTTGTTGCTTTGACTCCTATCCCAAATTGTACGCGCTACACGCAGCCAGAGCCTGCGAATATGTATATTGTACCCAAGGTATTCCAATCCCAGCCTGCTTGGACCCAATTTTCCCGCAAATGAAGAAAGCACACAGAAGAGGAAGAAAATAAAAAAGTGGAAGAAGAGCAAATGGAGACCATGAAATAAAAGCAAAAATTTTTTCCGTTCACCCACTCACTTAATGCCCCAAAATTCAAAGTGGCCAGCCGCACCGTAACTCTGGAACCTGGCGGCGAATTGATTGCCAACACCCGCGCCCGTCTCTCTCAGCAAAATTCTAAAAGAATACTTCTTCCCCTCAATCTACACAAACTCCCAAGTTTAAATGCAGCTTCATCTCCACCTCTTCTGACCCCAGATCCTTTGCGCTAATAAACTCTGCCCACCTCGCCACCGGCATGGCACCACGCTTCGCGGCAAGTCTACCATAGTTATCAATTTAGCTAGGACTAAGGCTATTGCCACTACTGTGTTGGAAGTATGTAAGGAATATGACACGTATGATGTTGAGGTTTCTGGGCTGGCCTGGGAAGAGTTGACCGGGGCTGGGGTGTGGTTGGGTTTGGGAATGGGGAAAATTAGCCCGCAGAGAATTGCTGCTATGTAGTAGGAGACGGCACTTTCTGCCTTGAACCCATATTCTGTGAGATGAAAATGGGCGGTATCAGTGGGGAAGCGAGTATCATTTGCTAACAAGTATCTGAATGATATTTTAATAGTTTATTGCAGAATGGTTTCTCTGGCTCTACCACAGTAACAGCAACGGCCAAGTGGAGTAAGGAATCAGGATCAGCCACGGATACTGGCTAGGAATACATCTTTCATTTTCTGCCAGGATCCCATCAGAAGTGAAGATGGGCTGTTTAACGGAGAGGAATTGGAAAAGGGAGGGCGAGAGGCGAAGAGGGTTACCGATATTTCAAGGATTTTGACTGTTCTTTTAACGGTTGACACTAGACACTTTACCTGCTGTTTGTAATAATATTTGACGGTTTCAGAGGAAGTGAGATAGATTGATGAATTACGACCTTACTTTTTCTGTATCCTTCATACTCCTGCGTTGTTGTTGTGTGGTCGTGCATATCTCAGCGGAGAGACAGCTAACGGGTAGCTGTAAAACGCGATCAGTGAAGAGAGAAAAACCACATGGCTGCTAGATAGGAAAAGTTTATCAGAAATTCAGTATCAGGTTTGGGAAGAGACAACTTGAGTCTCCCATAAATTGTAGCCCTCATGCAGCCAAGAACTCACTGTTTCGCTAACAATTTTCTAGATGAATTTAGGGAAGAAATGAGAATAAAACAATATCACGAGTGACAAAACACTCATGGAAATTATATATCAATATCATCATGAGCTCTTAGATGTACTTGCCATTCTGTCTTTTTCCGTTGAATTTCTCCTTCAGTAAAGGCGAACGAGCCGGTTCGATAATTAACAATGAGGTGATATAACACTTATCAATTAGATATCCGTAAACATTGGGAGAATGCGACACTAAGAACCGAGCGACTGGGCAAGGTTAAAAGTGTTTAAAATGCACAAATCACTAGTCTCCTACCTACAGGTTTAGCAGAGCAAACAGGAGGAGAGGGTGGCTGTAAACCCGCCTGAGCCACAAGGATACTTAGAAAATGGGGAGAATTGAATGGGGAATGAGAATCCAGTGTCTCCTTTGTTTTGTAGACAAGAGGCGGGATGAATTTCAAGGATCCATGGATAAGATGAGAAAATGATTGAGAGGTGGAAAGTTGTATAGTTAAAAAAAATTTTGAAATTGAGATCGAAATCGACATCAAATATCAAGCCTAACATAGGTAGTAATTTCTGACAATGTACTGTACTCTCTCGCCTTGTATAACCCTTCTCCATATTGTGATACGTGTAGAATGTAGAATGTAACAAACCAACAAAAAAGACATTAACAGTTTAAAACGGGAAGTTGTAACTAATAGTGTGAAAAAAAAAAAAAAAAAAAAAAAAAAAGGGAAAGGGGAAAAGGTTAATTAGAAGAATGCAATTAAAACAGAATTCGGGGAATATATGTCAAATGTCATGTTTGTTCAGCTCATTATATGCCTTTGCCTCGCCTCCCAACCTGTTCAATAACAGAAAGAAATAATATGAAA